AAAAAATTTACTTGCTTTGAGCCTCTATTTTCACGTGGCTGCTACTTCTGAGTAACATCTGTTTATCCAAGGCAGGCACTGCCCCTACTCAGCTGCTTGAAACATTTTCATTACCTGCTTGGCCTCTGTATTTAAGTTCTCCTCCTCCTGTACTTGCCATGTCCCTCCTCCCCCCAGTATCACATTACCTCCCTACAAATGTACTTAAAATGACAAGTGTGAAGACCCTGTAAATATATGAAAATATGAATAAACAACACGTTAACTAAAATAACACAAGAGACATCATTGAACATGCTGATTAAAATATTAAAACTCTCACATGCCACTAGTGCAAATATAAATTGGTACAAATCATTTTGGAACACTGTTTGGTAATATTTACTAAAGCTGAATCTATGAATACACTACGACCCTGCAATTCCATGGGAATTCCACAGCAATGTGTACAAATGTTCACCAAAATATTTGTACTAGAGTATTCATAGCAGCACTATTTGTACTAGCCAAAAAACTGGAAACTACCAAAAATGCCCATCAACTGTAGAAAGGATAGATAAATTGTGTTTTATTTACACAATGGCACATTAGGCAGCAATGGGAATAAACAATCTACAGTTGCACATAACAAGATAGATAAATCTCACAAAAGTTTTCATTTATATAAAGTTCAAAAACAGGTAGAACTAATCTATGCTGTTAGAAGTAAGGATGGTGGTCACCCTGGAGGAAGGATAGTTACTGGAAGGGAGCATGAGAGGGCTTCTGGGGGCTGGCCCTGTTCTGTTCTTCATCTGGATGCTGAATACACAGGCATGTTCAGTTGTCACAGCTGAGCTGTACACTTTTATGTGGCATATTAAGACTTCAATAAAAACCTTTAAAATGGTGTTAAAACATTTGATTATGTATATATAACATAAATACATAATATATAAATATGTATTATATATTATATACAAATAATATATATAATTAAATGTTCATTAGGTATTATCAGGTATTATTTTCCTATAAATTCATGGATGAACCTGCTGGGGAAGGATTCCCATCTTTTAGCATTGGCTGCTCTTCATGGAGATTGGGAACAATACACTTTCTATATTTGTTACCTTACTACCAAGCCTGCAGCCCCATCTTTCTTCTGGTAGAGCAATCTTTTTTTTTTTTTTTTTTGTGAGGACGATCAGCCCTGAGCTAACATCCATGCTAATCCTCCTCTTTTTGCTGAGGAAGACCGGCTCTGAGCTAACATCTATTGCCAATCCTCCTCCTTTTTTTCCCCCAAAGCCCTAGTAGATAGCTGCACATCCTTCTAGTTGCTGTATGTGGGACGCGGCCATGAGGCCGGAGAAGCTGTGCGTCGGTGCGTGCCCGGGATCCGAACCCGGGCCGCCAGTAGCGGAGCGTGCGCACTTAACCACTAAGCCACGGGGCCGGCCCTAGAGCAATCTTTTAAACATGGAAATGACGGGCTGGCCCCGTGGCTTAGCGGTTAAGTGCTCGCGCTCCGCTGCTGGCGGCCCGGGTTCGGATCCTGGGCGCGCACCGACGCACCCCTTCTCTGGCTATGCTGAGGCCGCGTCCCACATACAGCAACTAGAAGGATGTGCAGCTGTGACATACAACTATCTACTGGGGCTTTGGGGGGAAAAAGATAAATAAATAAAATCTTTAAACATGGAAATGAGACCCAAGGAAGCTACATTGTTTTACCTGCAGAGAGTTAAAAAACCAGAAATATAACCGAAGCCTCTTGTCTCCTAGTCAGGACTCTTCTTTCTCTCCTCTCTCACCTTGCCAGCTAGTGACATCCTTTAATCCAGTTACAGGTGGGGAAACTGAGGCCAGAAACCTAAGCCAGAGAATCTCTGGTCCAGGCATTCACCAGGGTCCAGAGCAAACCAGGGCACCTGCTAGAATATGAGTTCCCTGAAGGTGGACCCACTGCATCCCAGCTCCTAGAGCAGAGCCCAGCACACAGTAGGTGCTTAGCAAGTATATGCAGGGTGGATGTATGAATGAAGGCTCTCGCCATTGCTAGCAGAAAAAGACAGGCAACCAGAAAAAGGAAGAAAAGCCCCAAGTTTCAAACAGGGAAATGGGTCTGGTTTCCAGCTTCTGGCAGGCAGTGGTGGAGCTGGGTGCTGTGAGAACCACATCACTTTTTATTCACATGGGGCTCAGGCAGGAAAGGATCAAAACCCAGTTTCTGAACTTGAGAGTCGCCCTGGGGCTCTGTGGTTTGGGAACTGTAGGGTCAACTTGACGACTGCAGTGTGTCACTGTTTCCATTACATGGAATGTAATGGGTCCCCACTTGTCTGGTAAACTCAGAGCAGATTCTTCTGTTCGGGAGGATGGGAGCAGAGGCCCAGAGAGGTACGATTTGAGAAAGCTCCCTGTTGGTAACAGGAAGCACTGCCTGCCCCAGACTGGCCACATAATAAGGAAGAATTGTTAAAGAAGTCTTTGATTACATGTGTTAATGGGAAGAGGGTATTGGTAACACAACCCCTCCCCGCATAATCCCCAGCAGTTTCAGTTAACCTGTGGAACACATTATACTGTTCCTCCCTGCCACAGGGATGTTGGCTGAAGCAGACTTTTTTGTTGTCAAAAATTTTTTTGAATAGATAATACAAGTAGTATAGACAGAATCATAAGATGACCCCTCACCAGTATCTCCCAGAGCCTGGTTAGCAGTTTCTTGTCTATTAATGCTGGATTTTAAATTAAGGTTAAAAAATTAAGGTCAATCTACTTGCAAATAAGGGGCAGGTGAAGTTTGTGCGGAAGTTAGGGGTGGGAGGTGAAGTGACCTGCTCTGCTCTGGTACCGCCCACCTGGCAAGGACTTTTGGACATGCCCAGAATGCAGTGCACTGGCTCAGGACCTGCCCTGCTTTGATGAGCAGCAGTGGGGCAGGTGCACAGTCCTCGAATGTCTGGAAGCCCTGGGTTCAGAAGTCCGCTCTGCTCAGCTGTTTGCACTCCTGTTTACTCGTATTTCTAAGATGGTGTGAGAACGTGATGATGAAATGTATATAAAATCACATTGCTATACGGTAATTTTCCATTGTAAACTGGTCTATAGTGGTTATCATTATTGGTTGGATAGCTCAGCCATTTATTTGCTGTGTGATCAGGCTGTTCTTAACCTCTCTGAGCCTTTGGTTTCCTCATCTGTAAAATGGGGATAATGAGATCTAACTGCTGGGGCTGTTGTGAAGATTAAATAAAGTATGCAAAGTATGTAAAGTGCCTAAACCTTGTAGTCTCTCAAGACATTATTCCCCTCCCAAAGTGTGCTTTAGAGGGAGCCAGGTCATTTGGGTGTTCAAAAGCACCTAACACAAGAACCTTAGGAAAACATTTTAAATCTCTGGAGCAGGCATTCGTCACCTGAGACAGGGGTCCATACTGGTGTCTTTCGCAATTCAGAACTGTTCTTTCACAAGACATGATTCCATGTCAGCAGCACTAGTCTGATTCAGCCTTCTAATCACCATTATCCACACCCTCTTAGAATCTTTTAAAATATGCGAGCAGTCTCCCCAGAAAGATTAGTGGGTACCAAAGCCAGGGCTGTGGCTCTTGGGGCTGTCCTTGGACAAATGCTGCAAGGTCCTTGGAACCCAGTGCCTGTTTTTAGAAGGAGAGGGGATGTCTCACCCTCCCCACCCCAGGCACCTCTAGAGGCTGCCTTAGCCTAGCCACGTCATCTGGAAACTTCCACTGCCCCTGCCTGTTCCTGTCACCCCTCTTTACCCCTCAAGTCCCCAAGACACTATTATATGGCCTAATGTTTTCTCCCCTGTGATTCCCCCCAGCCCTTGAGCCTGGGGCCTTCCCATTCCAACCCCAACTCGCAGCATCCTCTGTCCCTTGTCCAGTTCATTCTTCATCATCCCCTCACTCGGAGCTCTTCTTAGCTCAAGGCAAAAGCTGCACATACCTCCCTTCCCCTGTCTGGTCACTCAGCTCCCTTGGGCTATATATAGCACAGCTGTGCGTTAGACTGTGCAGAGCTTCAAGTCCTAGCCCCCTCTTTCCCCACCCATTCTCCTCCCCCAACACTATAGGGAGAACAGCCTGAAGCTTCCAGTTAGGCCCAGGAAGCCCAACAAGGAGAAGGTTGCAGAGGGACAAGAAAGGGTGTGCTGAATTCGGGACCACCCAGAACATGGTAACCTTCCCCTCTGTTGTCAGGGACTTTCCACTTCTCTCCTAGCCTGCTACCCCTTCCCTGCCACTTGCTTATTCTGGAGGGAGAGAGGCAGGCAGTGTGCAGGGGAATTCTAACAATCGTTTTATTTAACCCTTACAATGTCCTCTGGGTATATGCTACCTCCATTTTACAGATGACAATATAGATTCAAAAGAGGCTGAGTGGTATAAGACCAGGTATTTAGAGAGTGGTCAGTCAAGCAGCTAACTGACCCCATGCCTGACTCTGACTTATACTCTGGATCCATTAAGTCTGTCTGCATTGTTCAATTAGACCCTTCTAAATTAGAATTTCTTTTAGTGTGACTTGATCTGGAAGAAAAAGAGTTTTACTAAGCAAACTACTAATGTACAAACACAAAATAATTATTAAAGACTTGGCATATTAACAAAAATGATGTTATCATACTTTATCTTATCTGTTTACTAAAGCAGGACTCTACAGAAATCTTTTCCTTGAAGTTTTAGTTACTGTGTGTTCTCAGAAGTTTTTGAAATAAAAAGCAATTTTATTTCTTCTATTTCAAGACTTTTCCTCCACTTTACATTCATTTTCCCGTTAGTCCAAAGTAGTGAGATTTGATTTTAGAAATGGTTAGAAGTCTAGTCCTTTTTTCTGTCACTTACTATGACCTTAAGCAAGACATTTAACCCAAGCCTCAGTTTTTCATCTGTGAAATGGCAATAACAGTACCTACCTCATAGAGTTGTGAGGATTAAATAAAATTTAATAAATAAAATGTAGTTAAATATTTAAAGCAGTTAGCACACTTCTTGCCCATAGGTGCTCAGTAAATCATAGCAACTATTATCATCTTCTCAGTTCTGGGCTAAGATGCTGTGGGAGCATCACCATAATCTCAACAAGGAGAAGCTGAACTTTGCTTTCCATAGCTTGGCCCCTGTTCCCCGAAGGGCTTGGAGTTGATCCTGATTCTTGCCCTGTCTCATCCAGATATTTCCATCCCCCCATCTCTGCCCCCACCCCCCTCCATCTCTTGAGAGTTCAGGCCACTGTTGGGACCAGGCGAGTCAGACCAGGAAAGTGTGTGTGAATGACTGGGAGGAGAGTTCTCATGGACGCTGGGGATATGTGAAGGCCCTGGGGAGTTGCTGTGACCCTGAGTCTCTTCCTAGAGCAGTGAGTGCTGGGGAGCGAAAAGAGCGACATCAGCTGCTGGACAAATTTCCAGTGCTGAAAAGCCCCTTTAGGACAGACACACAGGGATGAGAGTCATCTGGGGAAGGAATAAAGGCCTGGGATGGAGTGGGACTCTCCATAGTGCATCCAGATCTTTCTCCACTTGCTTAGCAAGAAGGTACTTTCTTTTTTCTCCTAATCAAGGGTCCCATGATTGATGAGCACTCCTAAGCTTCAATCTGGAGAGAGTTTCAGCTTAGCCAACCCCTTGGGGAACAGATTAGAAGTACAAACCTTGGAGCCAGCCAGACCCAGGTTCAGATCATGACACAGCCATGTATAAGCCATGGACCCTCGGATAAGTCATTTAGCCTCTTAGAAGCTCAGTTCCCTCGTCTATGAACAAACTGCTACATACTGCATAGACTAGTTGAAAGGTCTGAATGCAAATACCTGGCACAGAATGGGCGCTAATGCTGGTCACTGTCATCTCTGTAACCTGAGTGAACATCAGCCCCACAGGCAGTATAAAGAGCTCTGGAGATGTGACGGAAGTCCCAGTTGTTTCAAACTCTTGAACAAATCTCCTTGGTCCAGAAACATCCTTGGAAGGATCAAAACCAATACCAGAGAGCTTGCCCCCCACAATTGGGGCATTTTATTTATATCTCATATTGTTTATAAGAGTATTTGAGACAGTTTGACTTGGGGCAGAACCCAGGATCTCTACCCATACTCGTCTCTATATTCCCATCTCAGTTCTCCACATCAAGTCTGTCTCTGATCCAGCCACTTATGTCCGTGGGAATTAAAAGGTTGAATTTAGTTAAGGGCTCCCCTCCATCTGGTCTTTTGTTACTTTCCAGTGCTTAGAGCTCCAGCCAGGAACTCAGCAGATGGGGGGTTAAGACTAATGCCCTGTCCTATCTCCTCCCCTCTCCATTCCTAACTTCAAAGTCTCCATAAAGCCTGTCACTGCTTCCTTGACCCCATAGTGGCAGCTCCATCTTAGCTCTTGGCTGGTTCAAAACAGCAGACGCTGAGCCCTGGCCCGGCTGCTCGCACTCCACTTTCTAGCCATCTCCTTGGGTAAGCACCAGCATGCTGAGGACCTGAGGGGCCAACAGTCCTTGCTCCTCTAGGAGAGGGGCAACTAGGAATAGAAGTTGCCTCAAGCAGGGAGTGTTTCGTGCTTAAAAGGCAGCCCACAGGCAGAAGCCTTGGTCTAAGGACCAGGACTCCGGGACTCTGTCTAGTTTGTGATCAGAGCAGACATTTACAGGGGTTAAAAAGTAAAGCAATAGGGGTCACCAGCCCAGGGATGGAAGCAAGGGTTGGCAATTGTAAAGAATCTGGCAAGAGATGGACCTGGAAACAGGGTAACTGCTCAGGGACCAGAATTTGTCCTGTTAGTATTAGTGTCCAAAATCTATGCTAAATTATACACAAACCAACGTGCAATCATTTTAATCTCTGGCTCTGGTGATTCCGTAACCAGTGCTTTTAACACTGTCTGGGATGGCTCTGGCTCCCTGGGGCCAGACACTGCTCTGTAGCTCCCTTAGGAGCAACCGTCACAGACTCAAGGCCAGTGGGAGTCCTAAGGCTCAAGGCCTGTTCCCCCCACCCTCATCTGTGGATTTTTCCAGCTGTTTTTCTTGGCCCAAGGATCACACTCATAGGGATACAGATGGAAGAGGGGGAAGCAGAGAAAACAGTGAAGTCAGAATGAGCTGGGGAAGAGGCAAATGTTAGGAAGAAGAGATGGAGAAATGGCGCTAGTGGTCCAGCCACCTGAGACATCTTTTCAAGTAGCGGCTGTGTTGGGCATGGTAAGAGAGGGTCTTAGCAGGCAACTCCCTCCTTTCCACTCCAGACTGAGGAGAATCAGAGTTCTTATTGCGGCATGCCTCCTTCCAGGACTGGGCTGAAGCATAGGAGCCCCAGCTGCTAACATCTGGGGGCAGGATCATGTCTGCTAACAAAGGCTGGTGGGTACCACCCGAGGGCGAAGACAGCGTGTCTGAGAAGTTCCTGAGGAAGACCAGGGAGTCTCCGCTGGTGCCTATAGGTGAGTGGGAAAGGAACGGGGGGCGAGGAGGGGGCATTCTCTCAGAGAGAACATGTCTCCTATTCCTTTGAAAAGATGAAGCAAGAACTCAAGTGGTCATACATACCCCCTGAACAATCAACAGCTAGAGGAGGACTGAACCAACAGCAAAGGTGCCAAAGGACAAAGCCACATCCCCTGACAATGAAATTACGAGTCTGGACGGGTGGAGGTGGCGTCCAAGCCCAGTGCATGGGATACAGGGCAACTTGGGCACCAAGGCCAGTGTCAGGACAGGAAGGAGTAGTTTGGGGTCTCCCAGGGCGTCCTTCCTCAAGGCCCTGGGAGAATAGGAAAACAGTTGTGGGAGCCAGCAGTGGTCAGAGAAGGGCCCTGAGCAGAGCTAATGGGCTTGATGGACTATTTGTATACGGAGGAAGCGAGTCATTGGAGCAAGGCAGCCACTTTGAAAATGACATTGAGAGGAAACAATTTTTTTTTTTGGTGAGGAAGATCAGCCCTGAGCTAACATCCATGTCTATCCTCCTCTTTTTTTGCTGAGGAAGACTGGCCCTGGGCTAACATCCATGCCCACCTTCCTCCACTTTATATGGGATGCCGCCACAGCATGGCCTGACAAGCGGTGCGTTGCTGTGCGCCTGGGATCCAAACCCGGGCCGCCAGCAGTGGAGCTCAAGCACTTAACCGCTACATCACCGGGCCGGCCCCACAACTCAATATTCTAAAGATTGCCCCCCCTTTCACCCTCCCCATGACACAGCAGGAAAGCAGCTGTTTATCTAGATGCCCAGCCTGCCTAGTGAGGTGTCTCTTATCAGGAGAGTGATGTGCTTGGTGACTGAGGGTCAAGGGTCATGTTCTCTGCCTACAGGCTTAGGAGGCTGTCTGATGGTGGCAGCATACAGGATTTACCGGCTGAAAGCTCGTGGTTCCACCAAGATGTCCATACACCTGATTCACACCCGAGTGGCAGCGCAGGCCTGTGCTGTGGGTGCCATCATGCTGGGTGAGTATCTGGTGGGGTCACAGGAGAGTGAAGGCAAAACTGACTTAGGCAAAATCGGGCTGTGAGTCCTGACAGTTAAGGGTCCATGATTTCAGTCCCTGTTCCCTATGCTGGGCTCCACATCAAGTCCTTGGTGAAGCCCTTGTACTGAGACATTTTCAGGGCTCCCTGTTTAACTTCCTGCCCCAGGCCTGTGGGGATGGTGCACAGTCTGTTTCATGAGAGTTTGTCCTAGAGGTGAGAAAAATCACACAGCAGAACATACGCTGAATTTCTCTTCCTATCTGGATCAAAAGCAGACAGCTACTTACTAGCTGTGTGACAGTGGACAAATCCCTTTCTCTGAGCCTCGGTTTCCCCATGTGTAACATGATGATAATCACCCCTGGCTTGTCTACCTCACAGGCTGCTGTGAGATTTCTCAGATAGATAATATATGTGAAAGTGCTTTGTGAACTGTTAGATGGGGTGTTCCCCAGGCTGTGTGGTCAGGTGCCTGTAGCAGCTGTTGAGACCTAGGGCAGAAAGATGAGCAGGGCAGCTGGACTCTCAGGGGAACGGCTCGAGTTGGACCCCTGGGACTCTGCAGTTGTTACTCCTCTCTGGGACCCATCAAGGAGCCACAGGATGGGTGGAGGGTGCAATGTCACGGGGCATTTTTCCTTCTCCCTCACACAGGTGCTGTGTACACAATGTATAGAGACTACATCAAGAGAACAGCACAGGATGCCGGGGAGAAGTAGGAGTCCTATAGGGTCTGGGGCAGTCAGACCCTCTTAAATCAATCCCTGGTACGCTCCTAATAAAGTAGTTTTGAGGAAAATCAATGGTCTCTTCTTCACATGGAGGAGAGCAGAGTAAGGAATTGGTAGTGGCTGGTGCAAGGACTTAGAGCAACAAGCTGGAGATCAGAGTTCCGGCCCCCAACTCCAGGGGAAAAGAGACTCTTAGGGGGCAGAGGAGGAGGGGTAGTAGACCTCCGATCACAGAAACCCAACAAGTCCCACCCAGAAGCGTGGTAGAGAAGACGGACGCCAGGAGTAGGAGTGGGAGGGTGGGGGCAGTAAAGAGGCCTCAATGCTCATGGGAACACTGAATTAAGAAGCAGGCATTCCTCCTACCACAGGCTGCTTCCCTGGGGACCCAGGCAGGAAGAAGGCTGCAGCTGGGAGCAGAGACAGTGAAGCCTCATGGGAGATGACACATATCCAGAACCCAAGTACCAGGACTAGACTGTGCTGGAGGAAAGGAGGTGGAGGGATGGGGATAAAAGGAACAGAGCAAGGCAGAAGTCAGAATGTTCTGTTCACTTATAAACCATGTCTAAGGTCAAATTTATAAAAAAAAAAAAAAAATTCCACGTAAATTCTGAAGACAAGGCCCCTTGGGGTTACACACTTTCATCTCCTTCTCCCTCCCCGAGCCCAAGCTCCTCTCTGTTCCCTGGGAATGGAGCCAGGCAGAGGCCACAGAAGGAACTAGGAGGCCAAATACTCCTTCCTCACTGGTTGGAGGCTCTTGGGTTGTTAAAGATGGCCACAGCAGCAAACAGACACTCTCTGACAATGTGGAGTCCAAGTTACACCGGGTCCCAGCTTCAAGTCCAGCATGCAGCCCACTGTAGGGAGCAGGAGCTGCCAGGAGTCCCGGCACTCACATGGGGTAATTGAGCACAACATCCTGCTTGGCGAGCTCCAACAACATAGGATCATCGAAGAACTTGCTGATGCTCACGTCTTCACTCAGGCCCTGCAGAGAGTGGGGGCAAATGCAAGAATGAGCCCTATGTGGCAGCTGACTGAGCTGGGGGCCGTCTGAGACCTGTGCTTGAGTGGGAGGCTGGTGGGGGATGGAAAGTCGCCCGAACTATTTCAGGAGCCCTGTCCTCAGGGTATCGTCACAGGGGAGGAGAAGGCTCTCCTCTCCAGCCAGACTGGGTCCCAGGTCTGGTTGCCTGAGACCTATACAGATCGCCTCTCTCTACATTGTACAGTAAACTGCTCTTAGTCTTTGGGAGAAGGGTCCAAAAGGAATAAAGGAAGAGAGATCCAACTCCTGTTGAGACCCCTGGGGGTTGAGAGGTGGCGATGGGCCTGAAGGACACATACCTTCCTACGACGGGTTTTGATCATGAATTCCCGGGCCAGGTGAGGAGCTGGCTGTGGTTCCAAGGGGCGGATGACAATGCTCTTGTCCAGAGGATCACCAGGAACAATCTGAAAGGCAAAGGGGTTTCAGATGCTGCAGGCAGACTTCCTAGAGCGTTCAGGCCTGGGTCCAGGACTCTTCTCTAGCATGCTGGAGATCTCACATGGAAGGGGAACAGGTCAGAGGGCACTGGCCTTGTAAAGGAGGGAGGTCAAGCTGGCCAGCCTGTACCATTTTCTCACCTGCCAATGGTGGAAGACAGACAAGGAAAAGGCCTGCCCCTGGGTATGAGTCCGCAGATCAGTCTCAAAGCCAAAAGAGTCGATGGCCGGGATGAAAGCTTTGATGGTGTAGAGAGGGGAGCCTGGGATGGGTGCATCCTGAGTCACATGCCCCCTGAGACAGAAAAACAAAGGCTGAGTCCCTAGTCCTACACAGGCCAAAAGCAGAGAAGCAATCTACTCCCAACCCAGAGTTACCATCAAAGAAAGAATAACACACTACAGAGGGCAGAAAAGGCTTGGGGCTCTCAGTGTAATTCCCTCTGGAAGTCAAAGGGGCACAGGACTCTGGGCCAGAGTGGGAATACTGATGGGGCAAGGCCCTATAGACATTCCCACCATTGACATGCTTCAGTACTTTCCCCAGGAGCTCTCCAAGGAATGGGGCCCAAGAAGGAATCTCAAATTTTAATCTGTGGTAAAGCTGGGGATAGCCTCATTCCTTTCCTACTTTCTTCTGAAAAATCAGCTCACTAGGTTTCAGAGGTAGAGAGGGTGGGGGAGGCCAATCTCCTCTTCCCTGCAGTAGCCAGTTACTTCTTGCTCTGCTCTTGCCCTCCGCACACTCCCTAACATGCCTGGGGCTGCTCACCTGCGCCTGGCCAGGACAGTATAAACAGCAGAGACACAATCTGCAGGGGCCTGGACCTCCACAAAGTAGTAAGGCTCCATCAGACGAGGAGTGGCCTGCAACAGAGCAAGAAGGCTTCCTCAGCTTGGCAAAGGCTGAGAACAAAACACTTGGATGAAAGGAAGGCTGGGGGACAGTAATCTCGAGGCCCCACTTCATGCCCTGGAGCAGGCCCACCCCGCTCACTTACCATGAGGAAGGCAGAATAGACAACTCTCCTGGCCGTGGGGATGATCTGGCCTCCGCCCCGGTGCAAGGGCTCCTGAGCAACCACTGCATCCAGGATCTTAAACTTGACATTTCGAATCACTGAAAAGGAGATGAGGCAGCCGACTGAGGAGTGGTTCTGGTGCTAGTCAAGGGCCCACGGACAGAGCAGCAAGGGGCCTCTTGCAGCACTGCAGAAGATATGGTAGAAGATCACCCTGCAGACGGGTGTTCTAACAGATTGTACAACGCCTGTAGCAGAAGTCAGAAGGTAAGCACACATTTTTAGTGCTTGTTTCAGGCCATGCTCAGGCATCACAAAGCCTCCCTAGAAGTTTACGGGCTTCTTTTGCAGATAATTATTTTTGGATATAGAATAAGTTCTAGGAATTGCACATTTGTTCCCACTAAGTCCAATCCTGGTCTATAAACCACTCTAATCCCATGCTCCTTTTGATATCTCTCCTCAAACACATTCCTTCTCGAGAATGAGCAGCAAATGTCAACCTAGAAATGACTTCATTTCCAGAATGTACCAAGTGGTAGCACCAGGATAGGGAGGGAGGGAGAAGAGAGGAAACTGGCCCAGGACATGGGATGGCCCTGTGTGTCCCAAGCTGCTTCTCCTGCCAGGTCCCAAAGATGAGCCCACCCCACCTCATACACCCAGGCACAAGGACCCTAGAGGACTGGGGTGGAAGAGACAGAGAGGCACTGGTGGACTTACACTCATCACAGAGGGGCCCCTCCCTGGTTCCCCACTGGAAACCTTGAACGATGCTGTCCTTCACTGAGCCAAGAAGAGCCTTGTCCACCTGCACAAAACATGAAGGCCCCTTAGCAGTGACCCTGGCAACAGCCAAAGAGTTTAGAGGAAGGAAAAGGTAGGTACACTGGTAAGAGGACTCTCCTTCACCAGAAGACACAAAATACTTTTGGGAAAAGAAAAATACTCAAGAGCTAAGAGACACTTAACTCAAGAGCTAAGAGACTGCCACAAGGCTCCCATCAGTTCTGCTGTACCTCGGAGGGCAGGGTATCATCCACGAGGATGTTGGGGCCGGTGGCATCAGGGCCAAAAGCCCAGATGGAACGGGCAGCCAGCAGATCCCAATCATACTTGGTCTGGAAGAACTCTCCCAGCTTCTTCCTGGGGGAAGGAGGAGAGAATGGAGGTGTCAGCTCTGTGATTGATGGCTCCTGGGGCTACAGATCCTGTCTTTCTGGAGGACAGTCACCTCAGTCTACCCACGCTATGCCCAGCCCAACAGCAAAGGGGGAGAGACCAAACTGCTTTCTAAGAGGACATGTGGTATTAGAGACCTGGTAGGGAAGCTGTGGTGCCTGTCTCCAATCAGTCCTGGAATCAGAGCTATGTTCTCACCTGTTCCACGTGATCTGGACCACCTCGTTCTCAATGTCCTCGGCGAGGCCCTTCTCAAGAGGCTCAGCAATCATGGTGATTTTGTTCCTAGTCAGAAAGGAAATGAGTGATGAGGAGGGTCAGCAGGACTAGCACAAGGAGCACTCCTAATAAAAGGGTGACAGGGAACAGCTAAGGCATTGACATCAGTGAAAGCCACAGGGGCAGAGTAGAGCACAAAGGACTCATTTTCTGTCTTCTTTCATCTGAACCACTCTTTAAGAAAGTAAAGTTTGGGGAAAAAAAAATTTTTTTTAAACAGTATTAGTATGAGCCAGCCCTGATGGCCTAGTGGTTAAAGTTCAGTGCTCTCACCACTTCAGCAGCCCGGGTTCACTTCCCGGTTATGGAACCAGACCACCCATCTGTTAGTTGCCATGCTGTGGCAGCAGCTCACATAGAACTCAGACAATTCAGAACTACAATATACACCCACGTACTGGGGCTTTGAAGAAAAAGAAAAAAAAAAAGCTTTTTAAAACAGTGTTAGTATATTAAACAGTAAAACAGCAGAGTTGCTGCTAGGGCAAAATTTTAAGATGGTCGTAGTATATGGGGAGGAGAAGTGGCAATTACGAAACCATCCAGGGAGTACCTAAGGCAAAGAATTCCACAGTATCGTGTCCAAAGGCACAGGGATGAGAGGGCTGGCGTAAAACTCAAGTATCCTAAGCACTCCCATCCCAAGACTTAGAGATCTCTATGTCCACAGCGCTTGTGACTGGAGTGGAGCTGGTGGGGAGGGGAAAGTATCCCATATCAGTCCCAGGGGTACTATGACCCCCAGCTTACTTCTTATTGGGCGTTTCAGCAAAGCACTTGAGGGAGGATGTCTCCACCACCGTCTCACAAAACGTGACAACAGGGTCAGCCACCTGGGAAACAAAATAAATTGTTAGGCAGGGTCTAATTTTGTTGGAAAGAAAATTTTCTGCCAAAGGGAATTCCAAGGTCCCCTTGACACTACCTCCACGAGAACCCCCCTCTTAATCACATTCGTGCTAAGTACAATAACAGGCTGAAAGTCCGTACCATGAAGCCTGGGAAAACTTAGCATAGTGCACAATTTATATTCCTGAGCCAAGAGTAAGTGGGGATCAAATCTGGACCTAAATTATAGTCCCCCAAGGTTA